GCCTGGGGAGGGACCAGACAGGCCTCCCCAAGGCTGCCCCCCCCTCCAAAATCCCCCCACCCGCCCTGGGAAGTGGCTGGTACTCCAGCCCTACACCAACCTCTCTCATGCGGGCGTAGTCAATGAGGCGAGCGTAGGCACTGGTACCAGCTATAATGAGCCGCGGTCGGAAAAGCCGAGCGGTCAGTGCCAGCTGGTCATAGTCGATGAGGCCAGTTTTGGGCTGGATGGACAAACAAAAAGCTGAAACCCTGAGACAGAAGCAGGGCAGCTCACTCTCCTCCTTGACCCTAAAGGCTGCCCAGGACTCCAGCCCCTCACTTTCCCCAGGAGAGGGCCACCAGGGCCCTAGCACTCACATTTAACTTATAGGGCATAGACTCAAAGAAAATGGATGTGGCCGAGATCCGCTTGACATCAGACATGTAGCCGTGAGTAAGACTGGAAAGGGACGACAGTGATAAGACAGCTTCAGAAACTAGTAACTTCCAGACTTAACCACTGCCTTCCTGCCCGGCTCCAAAGGCCTCTGTCCCTGGAACACTGCTCCTAGTATGTGCAACCCTCACTGCTCAGTCCATTCCATGGTGAGCACCGGTTACTGGGATCTTCTCTTCCTCATCCATTGACTTGCAGGGCAGGGAGAAGCCTGCATGTGCCACCTGTGTGGCACACACTAGGTGTTCAATAAAAACTCCTTTCTCATGCCCATCCTGCCCACCACACCCAGCACCCACTGCATCCATACTCACTGGCCCCCATCAGGCAAGTCCAGCCCCATGATTCGGTCATGAGGCTGCAGAAGGGCTGTATAGGCCGCCAGATTAGCCGGAGAGCCTGAGTATGGCTGGACATTGACTCCCCACTGTGCAGGATCCAGGTCAAAGGCTTCCAAGGCCCGGCGCTGACACAGCAACTCAATTTCATCCACTACCTCTGCTCCTCCATAGTATCTGCCATGAGATGGGGGGTATATCAGGGCACCCAGAAAGGGTTCCACCATCCCCCTCAACCAGCAGCAAAGGGCTGGGAAGGCCACTCCTCTAGACACGCTGGGAAGGTAACTGGGAGCACTGTCCCTGAGGCTGCCCTCCAGCCCTCTGGTACCTAGGCCTCACCTCTTGCCAGGGTAACCCTCCGAGTACTTGTTGTTCAGACAGGACCCCAAGGCCTCCAGCGCAGCTCGGCTGCAGAAGTTCTGGGGTGAGGGGGAGTGGGGGGGATTGTCACAGAAGGTATTGAGCCCCTTTCCCTGGAGCCCCCCCCACAGCCCCACCCTGTCAGAGCCCTGGGCAGCAGGGAGGAGCCAGGCCCTACGGAAACCTCTATTCATCCAGTGTTCCTTGTCAGACCTGAAGAAAGGCCAGAGGAAGCATCCTGAGAAACCCAGCTGCTGTGGTAGGTGTCCCCAGCAGGGCCACCTGTCCATTCGAACCTGTGCTTCCAGGGTCCTCTTTCCTCTTGGGAAGGGGAAGGGACCAGACTAAAGTACAGGGGCCCCAGAAGGCTCTGGAAGCTCTCTAATGTCCCCCTCCCACAATCCAGATTGCTCTGCTTTTTCTTCAGAGCACAGTAAGAAGACAAGGAGGGGCACCTGGGTGGCTCAGTCAATTAAGCATCTGACTTTTTTTTTTTTTTAATTTTTTTTTTTCAACGTT